GTGCTCGTCCGGGGGGGCGTTTCGTTTTCGTTTTCCAGTATGCGCCAGGGCGCCCTGCGGTGCTCGTGGGGGCCCTGACCGCGTGACTCCTTCTAGAGAAGAAGGCGAGGAGCAGTAAAATTAATTGCGCTTTTTAATTCCGGCTTAGGATGCGTCGGGAAAGGTGCTGGATCACTGGAGCATCATGACCAGCGAGGAGGAGGTGGCCACCTTGCAGCAGTTCCTTCGTTTTGGGGAGACCAAGTCCATCGTGGAGCTCATGGCAATTCAGGAAAAAGAAGAGCGGTCCGTCATCATCCCGCCGTCCACGGCGAACGTGGACATCAGGGCCTTCATCGAGAGCTGCAGCCACAGGGGTGCCGGCCTCCCCGCTCCTGTGGACAAGGGGAACCCCAGCAGCCTGCACCCCTTTGAGAACCTCATCAACAACATGACCTTCATGCTGCCTTTCCAGTTCTTCAACCCTGTGCCTCCCACACTCGTAGGGTCCCTGCCCGAGCAGTACGTGCTGGAGCAGGGTCAGGACCAAAGTCAGGACCCCAAGCAGGACATCCACGGACCCTTCCCCGGCAGTGGCTTTGTGACCTCCAGCTCCACACCATTTCAGGTGGAAAGAGAGCAGTGTCTAAACTGCCCGGATCCGGTGACGAAAAAGGAAGACAACGCCCATCTGAGTGACTCCAGCCCGTACAACATCGTCACGAAGCTCGAAAGGACACAGCTGTCCCCCGAGGCCAAAGCGAAGCCCGAGAGGACCAGCCTGGGCGCGAAGAAGGGCCGGGTGTTCTGCACGGCCTGTGAGAAGACCTTCTACGACAAGGGCACGCTCAAGATCCACTACAACGCCGTCCACCTGAAGATCAAGCACAAGTGCACCATCGAGGGCTGTAACATGGTCTTCAGCTCCCTCAGGAGCCGGAACCGCCACAGCGCCAACCCCAACCCCCGGCTGCACATGCCCATGAACAGGAACAACAGGGACAAAGACCTGCGCAGCAGCCTGAACCTGGCCGCCTCGGACGGCTACGAACGCCCGGCCTTCACGGTGAGCTCTGCCGACTGCAGGCCCCTGGCCGGCTTCGGTGCGGGGGAGGCTTCCGGGGGCCAGCCGGCCTTCCCCAGCCTTGGGCAAAACGGGGTGCTTTTCCCCAACCTAAAGACGGTCCAGCCGGTCCTGCCTTTCTACCGCAGCCCGGCCACTCCGGCCGAGCTGGCGAACACGCCCGGGGTGCTGCCTTCTCTGCCTCTCCTGTCATCTTCCATCCCGGAACAGCTGGTGTCGAACGAGGGGCCGCTTGACGCCCTTCCCAAGAAGAAATCCCGGAAATCCAGTATGCCCATCAAAATCGAGAAGGAGACCGTGGGAATCGCCAACGAGAAGAGGCAGGTGCTCAGCTCGGATGAAGACGTGCCCCCGCGGGTGGCCCGCGGGGACGAGCCGGAGGCCTGCAGTCCTCAGTCGGACAGAGCCCCCGGGGACCAGGACATGCGGTCAGGAGGAGAGACGGGCTGCCGCGGAGACTCGGGGATGAAGGCCGGCGGAGCCATCAGCAGAAGCCCCGAGCAGGCCCCGCAGTGCGCGGAGAGCGAGGCTAAGCAGGAGCCCGCGGTACCAAGGGGGCCGGACGACGGCGGCCGTGAGCTTCACCTCACACCCGGGACGGAGCCCTGCGTGCCCTTTCCGGACTACATCAGACTGCAGCAGCACCTGCTGGCCGGCGGGCTCTTGGGCGCTCTGTCCAGCAGAGGGATGGCTTTTCCTTGTTTCGAAGAGTCTAAAGAGCCAGACGTCGCGGGTCAGCGTGCACTCGGCCGGCAGAAGGAAGAAAACCGCTTCCAGTGCGATGTCTGCAAGAAGACCTTTAAGAACGCCTGCGGCGTGAAAATGCACCACAAGAACATGCACGCCAGGGAAACCCACGTGTGCACAGTGGAAGGTTGTAACGCCACCTTCCCCTCACGCAGGAGCAGAGACAGGTAAGACACCCGTCAGTAATCGTGTCTCCCAAGGCACCGATTCTTAAACTCTACAGTGCGTCTGAGTCACCTAGACACACATACTTCTGAGCCCTGCCTGTTGAATTTCTGCTTCAGCAGGTCAGGAGACGGTGGGCGGGGGGGAGGCCCGAGAGTTTGCATTTCTGAGTTCCCAGGGGATTACCGCTCCTGCTGTTCCAGGGACCACGGTTTGAGAAACACTGTTCTACGGATCCGCATTCCCGAATTCTCAGTTCCAAATCTAAACGCCCTTGGCCACAAAACCTGATCTGAAATGACATGAGCCTGTTGCTAATCTTATTTTTTTTTAATCTCCCTACGCGTGGATTTTCTTATTCTATGTTCCATGCAGAAATACTAATGGATTCATTATGGGGACATGAACAACATATTACAGTGTACGCAATGATTCTGCCTTTCTAAAGTCTAAGCAACTCTGAATTCAGAAACACATCTGGCCCAAAGGGTTGGGGGTAAGGAATCGTGAGCTGGTCTCACATGAGGCAGTGGTGGGGAGGGGCGTTACAATCCTGAGTGTAACTTCCCCCAAACTTGTCTGCTTTTCATTTTATGATATGAAGCCCACCGGATGAAATATTTTCTTTTATGTCTATTTAACCAGCTACGTTAAAAAAAAAAGAATAGCTGCTTGATTGAAGGTTTTTAAATTATTTTTTTCAGTTTATTTATTTTGAGAGAGGGAGGGCACGCAGCGGTGGGGAAGGGGCAGACAGAGAGGGAGAGAGAGAACCCCAAGCGACACGGGGCCTGATCGAAGTCGTGAACCGTGAGATCACGACCTGAGCCGAAATCAAGAGTCTGACGCTTCACCGACTGAGCCACCAGGCACCCTGAAGATTTTTTAATCATTAAGACATCAAAGAAAAAAGACACTTAGTAGGTTCCTTTGGGGTTTGTGATGTTGGTTGAAAAGCGAGAGTCACTGGGTACTGGGTGTTGTGAGGCACAACACAGCGTCAACCTGTTTGCAAAGCGCCCAGGTACAGAGCGCCTCTCATCACTCCGGGACACAGCACGGGCATTGCTGCCTTGTGTGTGCTTTTCTTCGGGAACTTGAGTCCCATAACCACCCCTCGGGCCACCTTCCTCCCCAGCCTGTGAAGGGAAGCTTGTGCGTAACCAGGAGGTGACCCCAGGAGGCTTTAAGGAAAAGACTAGCTCTCTGATGAAATGCCATATGATAAATGCTAGAGGGTTCGCAGAATATTAACCGTGTTGCATTTGCTCAGACAAGCCTGACTTGAAGCAGTTCAGCATCCCCGCTAGCTACCTTCGTCCAAAGCGTAACACCTGATTTCCTGAAGAGGGGGAAGGTACAGGCACTGCCCGCACGTTCCTGGAGCGGGCTCATAAGAACATACTCGCCTGGAGCGAGGGGGAGAGAGCAAGGGTGTTAGGAGTTAAAATTCCTGTTTTCTCTCGCTGGCGTGTTGAACCAAACCACCAGGATCCCCTGACTGGAGAACGTGCCCTTTTCCTTCATCCTCCAACAGGAGGCTTTGTTCATGACAAGGCTGTTCTGTTGAAGAAGAGATAGCTCTATCAGGCAGATTATCCTCGATATTTATGACAGCGTTCTGGCCCACAGCGCCCACCAAATTAGAAGGCCCCCTCCCCCACCACGGGAACGCATCTTGAATTCTAAATTTCAACTCCTGATTTTAGTGGTCTAGAACTAGGAAGGCATTTGGCCTAGAATCTGATTAAAATGGCACATTTTCTCTTATTTTTTTAATGTTTGTTTATTTATTTTGAGAGAGAGCGAGCGGAGGGGAGGGTCAGACAGAGGGGGAGAGAGAGAGAGAGAGAGAGAGAGAGACCCAAGCGGGCTCCACACTGTCAGTGCAGAGACTGATGCGGGCTCGATCTCACACACCGTGGGATCATGACCCGAGCCAAAATCAAGAGCTGGACGTTTAACTGACTGAGCCACTTGGGAGCCCCCGAAGTGGCACCATTTTAAAAGGAGCTTTGTGGGCAGGCCTGGGGCCACCCCCCTCTTCTGGGGGTCAGAGATGAGAACTCTGTTGTCAGGATGATTTTCTTCCCTTCTTAGAGCCACTGCCAGCAGCAGTCACTAGGGTCCCTCAGGAAGGGACTGTAATAGCACCCTAGATGCTTCTTTAGCCAAGTGTGTGTGTGTGTGTGTGTGTGTGTGTGTGTGTGTGTGTATTCAAGAACCTTCTGTCAGGTGCTGTGGACACAGTCACTGCTCACAAGGCCCACGGAGGAGACAGACCAGTAAATAGGCAATTTCAGCTGAATGTGGTGGCCGCTATCATGTGAGAGATACAGGCTGCTGTGGGCACATAGTGGAGGTACCTACTGGCCCCTGAGAAGTTAGGGAAAGCTTCTTGGAAGAAGGGGCATGACTAAAGCAGCAGCTCTCAGTCGGTTTGGTCTCAACCCCTTCACAAATTCTTAAAACCTGAGGGCCCTCAAGAGCCCTCGGTTGGGTGGTCTAGTTGGGTTTATAAGTATCAGTGTTTACTGCATTAGAGATTAAAACTGAAAAAAAAATCAATATTTCATCCCTTAAAGTAATACACATAGCATTTAATGAAAAAGAAGCCCGTTTTCCAAAGCAAAAGCTCAATGAGAAGACTGGTTTTGTTCTTACGTTTCTGCAAATCTCTGTAACGTCTGGCTTAGCAGAAAATAGCTGCCTTCTTACATCAGCTTCTGCGTTCAGCCTGTTCCAAGACCGCATGTCACGTAGCCTCCGGAAAACCACAGTACGCTCGGGAAGGAACGACAGTGAAAAAGACAAATCATGTCATCACAGATCATGTCTTCGTGTCCTTATGAAATGAGTTTTGACTTCAGGGTACCCCTGAAAGGGTCTCACGGCCACTAGGGGTGCCCAGACCACACTTTGAGAACCACTAGTCTACGGAGGCAGAAACCGGGGAGGACGAGGGAGGAGGACAGGGATGGAAGTGTCAGGGAAGACCCGCACGCACGCGTGCACGCACGCGTGCACGCACACAGCCAGCAGGCACAGCATTAGCAATCCTGGAAGCGGGAAGCTGGCACGCGGGCCAGTGGGTTTTGCGTTTGTGGTAGTGACTGGTTTAAGGGCACATGGCACCCCAGGAAGGCTTAACGAGCAGGTTGGAGGATCCCACACGTTCACTCGGTGTTCCTGGGGGTGCTCAGGCTGACAGCTTGGCCTCGTCACGGCAGGGACCTTCCCGTGCAAAGTTCCAGCGAGCGTGTCTGTCTGACTTTTTTCTAACCACTCTCGCGTCCCGGGACCTACGTGTCAATCTAACGTCTGGTTTTCTGCCGACGCATACCTGCCCCTTCAGCCCGGCACGCTGACATAATCACAGGGCAGCAGTGCAGTTGGCAAGGCGATCCGAGACTGCGGTGCTGAGGACGTCCAGAAAAAGAACGTGCGAGGGATACGAGGGAGGAGTCGAAGAGCAGGTTTTACACTTTCCTTGAAATGGGATGCAATTTCCAGCCATTTCCCCACCACCCCCACCACCACGTCTTGGGAGGTTTCGAAGAGAAAATTCAGTTCCTAGCTATTTGCGGAGGGGGCCGTGCGTTTTTCCCAGCGTGGGCCTGGCACACGTTCTCGTCTGTCCTGGTGGGGGAGGCTCTTTTCCACTTGGAACCATTGTCCTGTCACCTGTAAGATTGTACCCCTTGCAGGCAGGGCTGTTTCTGCCAGCCAGAAGTTAGCAGGGGATCTGTGAGCGAGGCCACCATTGATTGACAAGTTATGTCTAAATGATATCGTGTGAGTAAGCATGTGTCATAATGTGTCTGCCCTTCAGGAATAATCGTTGGGTAGAAGGCTGGTAGTGTGTTCAATGCTGTACTTGCAAAACTCCTGTCTGGTTTATAGTGAAACGTTGCAAATATGAACCGAACTTAGCGTTCTCTCCCTCCCTCCCTCCCTCCTCTCTCTCTCTCTCTCTCTGGCTAGAACACACAATTTCTAGCCAATCAGGTTTGCTCACCTGTGTGAGCACTTGACAGGTGTGTTAATGCCATAGACCATGATGCAAGCCACCCAGAAAATTGGAAATTTTCTAGTGGGCACGTTAAGAAAGTATGAGAAGCTCCGGTGACGTGAGCCTTAACAATGTGTTTTGTTTCATTCGGTCTATCCGAAATCTTGTCATTTCTGGGTATGTCGCAGCCACGTTTCAGGGCCTCCGTGGTCACGAATGAGCAAGCTATCGTACCGGACAGTACAGCTCTAGAA